GAGGAGCTGATATCAAGGGCTCAAATAGAAAGTAAGTGTTTAGAAAATGATGATGGCAACATATGTACAAAAGTGCTTGATACAACTGATGTGTGGAATGTTATAAGAGGTGTGAGAGTCCCCAATAAAATGATTTTAAAAAGAAAAAAACAAGTCAGCAGAGAGGACCACTCACCAAAATTATTTAAGCATGAAAAAGAATGCTAATTGTACTTCCAATCATTGAATCAGTTTTCAAAAATCTAGGTAAATCTATTAGAAAATCAGAAAAACTCATACATTAAAGTTGGAGACTTAAATCTATTTGTTTCAGTAGGAACAGTACTTACGAGCAAGCAAATAGGCTTTCCCTATTGAAATAGGGCTGTACCACACAAAAATACTGGCTAATAACATAGCATGAAAAGACAGAAAGTACAAAGCGGTCTCATATAACACCCAAAGAAATCAATTGACTCAGGCACGGTTTATCAGTTAGTATAAAGATCACTCATTAGGTAAATGGTTATTAGAGAACTTGACAATTGTACACTGCCAAAGTTAATACAGATTATTTCTAGTGAAAAAATGGAAAATGAAACAATACCAGGTGTTACACTAACCCAGTGAGTAGTCAGTCTTAACATTATTAAGGGCAGTTCAAAGAGGTGTGTCTCTTAAAATATGAAATGTACATGGCTTATGATAGAGACTAACCCAAAATGTTTTAATTGCTTAATCAGCCCTTTTAGTGAGTAAAGGAGTTAGCTAAATTACACTGTAATAAAACAACCGGATATAATTTATAAGGCAAAGCATCTTGTAGGACAGCAGGCCCAGCAACTTCAAGTTACAGCAATGGGGATGGGGGAAATATGTTGTTAAATTAAGATTAAAAACTCATAATCAGATGCAACGCAAGATCCTTAGTTCGACTCTGGTCTGGACAAACAATTTTGAATGTGGCTATGCATTTAATAGGACGAAAACTTAAAAGGTAAAGCTAGAGATGAACTCAAAAGCAAACAAAGCCAAAACAAATCCCCAAAAAACCAAGTTACACAATAATATAAAAGGTGTATTATTATTTTAGTGAAAAGTAATTTGGTATCTACTTTCTTATTTCTGTTCATTTTTATTCTTAGAGAACACACTCATTCTATAAAAAGAACTGTTAAAGTGGAAGCAAAACATGGGGGGAGGAATCACTGATATAGCCTGTGGGCTTGTGGCAAATGAGAAAATCAAGATCTAATATTACTAAAAATGCAACAGTACTATGGACTCCTATCTCCCATCTACATCCAACTGTTTTTCTATCACACTAACTTCCTCTTTACTACTCAATTGGTGTGAATTTATGAAGCAAATTAGCAAGCTAAGGCGAAAAGCCAGGCTGGGGAAGAACCAGGAAATTTTACCTGGACAGATCCAGGCTATGAGGAACTCTGGCCAGGTCATTGACCAGCCCCTTCTTCAGGAAGAGTCGAATGATGTTGTTCATGCCATTGTGCTGACTCTTGGCTGTGGCACTGCTGTAAAAGCTGGAGGTGGAGGGACAGGACTCCATGATAGTACTGATGATACACATCACTGCCTGAAGTCTGGGAAAGAAGTTTACACCACTAACATGTTAATAAAGCATTCTCAGACCATTCTCCTATGCCTTTTGTTGTTTCACTATGGAAAAAATATCTAAATAAGTGTGAACTCATTAAGTTAAAAAAAAATTTGCCCAACTTCTCGCGTGAACACAGTGGAAATGTTGCCCCCCTTTCCAAAGGCATTTAAACACCTACAAATATAATCAATGCTCTGCATATTTTGAATGATTTCAGATGACCTGGAGAATATGACGGTAAGTGTAAAACTTGCTACAAAACTCACAAACCTTTATTGCACAAAAATATAAAAAACATCAATCTATATTTTTCTCAACACATGCGCCCATCTAGGTGTACATATGTTAAAGTAGTGTTTATATCTCTCCAATGTTTCCCTGAAAAATAATGCTCAACTGAATACCATGTCAAAAGAGTAGTTTTGGAATCCTCAAAGGATAAAAATTGTATTCCTCTGTAACTTTCTTCCAGTTTGGGGACCAACATATAAAAAAAATTGAACGAGCAATTTAAGGCTCCAGGGTGGAGGAGGTATTGTTTCCCAATGAAATTCTTGGAGGACAGCCATTGCTACCCTTGAAGAATGAGCAGTAACACTGTCAATATTAGGGGGCGGAGGGAATTCTTGGTACATCTTTCCTGGCCCTTTCCTCACCAATGTAGTTTTAATTTTCATAAAATGTCTTCGTAATAAGCACCCATGATCATGGTATTTCTTGATCCCTCGAGAAAACTTATCAAGACTACCCCTTTGGAATCTCAAAAAGTAGTTGCCACCACCTCTCTGCCTTGAATTGAACTCATCTAACAGATTCCTTCCACTGCACTATTTTGATTGGACCTTTTCTTTGAAGGCCCCATAAGTAGACTGAGTTTGAGTGCAGAGACAGAAGTAAAGACCTTTGGTGGAATAAACCCAAGCATGCAAGAACTCTAGTAGCAATACTATTTTACTCACCTTCACAATACAATACAATGCTATTATTAAAAGAACACTTCTTAAAGTCCACGAAGAAAGAAGTAAGGGATTACTATTACTTAGGTAATAGAACTGTATCAGGTATTGGTATTACCTGGCATGCTTCTCTGTACTTTCAGCCATAGCCAGTGCCCGTCCAAGGGCTGCCTTTACTTCATTCACTAGTGCAACCTGGGCATCTGTACCACTTCCTGCAGCAGCCAAGCTCGCAAGAAATAGGCGAGCAAGCGCAGGTGTGTCTTTGTCTTCTGCATTCTGGGAATGTGGGAGGAGGTGGTCCAAAACAAAAGCAAGCACACTGCAGTCCTGAAAAAGCCATAAATTATGACATTTACTCACAAACACATTTATGCCATTATCATCTGCACAGCAACACGACCACTCACACAATGTCACCCACTGAGTGTGTATCAGGTCTACTTTATACATGAGAAGACCAAGGTTCAAAAGAATCAGCTAAATAAGTAGTAGACCTAGATTTTATGGTTTCAAAACCACCCATTCCCTAATACAGATGTTACTTGGTACTTTTAAAAACATTTTTACTTATAATATTTAACAGAACTATTCCCAGGACACCTTTAAAAATAAGACAAGGTAAAAATATTTTTGTTATCTGTAGAATTCAGTCAATAACAAGAATAACTCACAACCCAACTTCTGGTTTGCATGTTTTCATCATTGTCAGAAATCAATTAAATTTTAGTAGTTGATGATCCCTATAAAGTGGGTAACTGCCTGACCTAGAAACTGGCCTGAGCTAAAGTAGAAGACAACCTATTCACAGATATGATAGGCAAAATTAAAAAGGATAAATGGGAAGAAAACAAAGTTAGAATCTTCTTAATCTGTGATTCTGGATCAAAATGGATTGAAGGTTTTGGAACAGAATAGAGGTAAAGACTAAACATCACTGTGAACAAACACATGGGGGCTTCAAAAAGTTTGTGAAAACCTTACATATCCGGCTGGACCAGAGGATGTACATTGGCACAGATAGGAACTGGAAACAGCGAATCCAGGACAGATGAACCCCTCAGGACCAGTGGTGAAAGTGGCGATATCGGGAGGGTGGAGGGATGGTGAGGGAGAAAGCGGGAACAGATTACAAGGTCTACATATAACCTTTGCCCTGGGAGACGGATAGCGGAGAAGTGGGTAGGACAGTGTAAGATATGACAAAATAATAGTAATTTATAAATTATCAAGGGTTCAGGGGGGAGGGGAAAAATGAGGAGCTGATACCAAGGGCTCAAGAAGAAAGCAGGTGTTTTGAGAATGATGATGGCAACATATGTACGAATGTGCTGGACACAACTTATGTATGAGCCCCTAAGAAAATGATTTAAAAAAAGTTTGTGAAAAAAAAAAAAAGGAATTAAAACATAATGGAGTTGTGCATAGGTTTGGATTGATGGCAGACCCAACCCCATGGGCCTCTTATAGTGTCCCATGTCAGAGCGAACTGTAACCATGAACCATTGCCCGGCTCTCTCAAAGGCATCGGGCACTGAAGTGGGTTACACAGTGAAAAAAAAAAAAATATATATAAAATGGAGTTATCTTTTTGAAGTCTCTTATTGTCAGGAATTGTAGTCTTAAAATGTCTAATTTCATGGTTAAGTTTATCTTAACAGCAAATGAAAAATGATACATTTTAGAGTAAAAAAATGGTTATGACACTGTTAAGATAGAACTATTAATAATATAAAACAATTTCTGAGGAATGAAAAGTCAAAGCTATTTCTGAATAAATGTAAATAATATAGTAAGGACATTGTTTATAAAAACCGGGGTGGGGTGGGGGGGTGGTCAGAACATTGAAAAGGATTTAACTTTGGAAACAGAGATCTGAGTCTAATTTAGATGTCGTCTGCAGTATGACTTTGACTGAATTACCTCTGTGAGCCATTTTCCTTCTCTATTAGAGAGAACAATAACCAAACAATCTTGCTTTGCTGAGGTAAGGTATCAATAGCATTTGTAAGGTGCCTAGACGTATTCAAGGAGCTTCAGTGGCACTGTGGGGTAAGCGTTGGGCTACTAACCAAAAGTTGGCAGCTAAAATCACTAGTCATTCCAAAAGAAAAAGATGAGGCGATCAATTCACGTAGATTTACAGCCTCAAAAACCTTATGCAGGATGACTATGAGCCAGAACCAACTCCATGACAGTGGGTATTAGTACCCAATACAAGTAATCACTTGACACACATTTAATAGACAAATAAGAAACGTGTAATTAAAAGTTCTTTTATAAGCAATTATGACAAATTGGTATAAAGGAGCCCAAGTTTTAAAGTGAAACCATATATTCAATACTTAATCCGGTAATGTACGTAAATCAGAATGTACAAATAACTCAAGAGAAAACAAGAACAAAGGGCTTGAACACATACTTCACAAAAGAGAGTATTCAAATGACCGAGAGGGAAATATACAAGATGGCTAAGAGGGAAATACCATTTTAAACATAATTCAAACATAATTAAAAAATACCTTTTTAAACATAATTCAATACCACTACAAATTCACTAGTCTGGGTTAAAGGACAAACAAAAGAATCAGAAGAATATCAAGTGTTGGTAGGAAAAAAGCAGAACTTGCATATATTGCTGGTGATACAATGTTTTATATAATAGGAATAACCATAACTTATAAATTATCAAAGGTGAGGGAGGGGAAAAATGAGGAGCTGACACCAAGGAAAGGTTCAAGTAGAAAGAAAATGTTTTGAAAAGAATGATGGTAACATATGTACAAATGTGCTTGACACGATGGATATATGTATGGATTGTGATAAGAGTTATATGAGCCCCCAATAAAATGATTTTAAAAAGGGATCAATTATAACTTTTACCTTTGGTATTTATAATTGCATTGAAATAAAAATAACAATAAAACAAAACAAAAGCTATGGATAAACTCCTTAGATCACTGTCCTGAGATAATCTTTAAATTCTAAACAAATATATCAAAACCAAAGAATAGCTTATTAAAGAAAATCTGCATTTAAGCATTATAGTCTTTCAAGCGTATGTGTATCAGAACAAAATGACAACAGTGATGAGGAAGGAAATTTAAGGGGGCAAAAAGTTTATGTTAATGGGAGAAACAGGAAAGGAGAATGGTTACATAACTCAAGGAATAGAATTAATGCCACAGAATTGTACATATATGAACGGTTGCATTTTGGGGGCTATCTACATATCCTCAACAACTTAAAAGCAGTTGCTTTCAAAAAGTCCTACTATATGAAATACTATATTGTAATGCTAGTGGCCCCTGCTACAGACTTCAATTTCATATAGGTGCAATAAAATGTCATCTAGAGACCATTACTTAGATACTCCCCATGTATCTCTCAAATTCTACATATTCTCAAAATCTTATCCCCTCTAGTCTTATTGGATACACACCTACAAAAACACACACTAAACAAAAAACAACCTTGAGCCCACGATCTCATCTCCCAAATCCATCTCTTTGAATTACTATTTTTACTCCCCACACAGATCATTATTACTATACATACTCATGTATCAGCTGAGTTTTTCAGCCATTCTTGTGGTAAAATTAGGTGCCTCAGCTGATATTCGGGTTGGCTTAAACTCAAGTATGTAGGTATTTAAATTATCCTATCAGATTCTTTACTGGTCTCTCATTCTAGTTTTGCCTTTTGCAAATACACTGAATACTGAATAACAACAAATCATCAGCTTATACTCTTGCCTGTCAATGGCTTCACACCATGATAAAAAGACCCAGTTTTTAAATGGGTTACCACATAGCATGGACAGATTCCTAGTAAAGCATGTGACAGAATCAAATGATCAAAGTATCTGTGATAGTGATATGTGTCAAAGTAGCTAGGCTATTATTTTCTCAAATAATGTTAGCAGGGCACCAAAAACATCAATACGTAATCACAAACATATAATCTCACTCCCTTTTATGACTGTTGTGAATAGCAAATCATTTGAAAGGGGAGTTTCCTTGTGGTGTGACCTGCCTCCAGTATATAAGTGGTTCTGGCAAAGCTAAAGACCCCTTCCATCCCTTTCTCACCCTGGAATGACATGTAGCCTAATTTTTGGTTCTTGGGGTATGGGCAGCAGAGGTCTACAGCGTCCTTCCTGACTCATACATTTTAGATTCGACAGACCCTACACAACTGTGTGATCCATTTCCTTGAGGTAAACCTTACTTTGTATATATCTAAATATATGCCTTATTAGTTTTATGCCTATAGAGAACCTAGACCAGCAGTTCTGAACATGTGGGCCACCGTGACCTCTTTTGGAGTTGAACGACCCATTCATAGAGGTTGCCTAAGACCATCAGAAAACACGTATTTATTTATCGTCTTAGTAACTGAGACACCACTCCTCTATCTGTCTCCAGGCGGGTCCACCCACAGGCAGATATGCTCACATACAAGTATCCGGTGCAAAGACTGTTACCCATGCTATCCACCCACATGCAGATATGCCCACATACAAGTATCTGGCACGAAGACTGTTACCCATGCTACACCATGCTTCAAGACAAAATTTCATTAATTTATAATTAGAAATAAATATTTCACAATATAGAACTGCATATTTTTTGTGATTAATCACTATGATTTAATCATGTTCGATTTGTAACTATGAAAATACATCCTGTATCAGATATTTTCATTAAGACTACTAACAGTAGCAAAATTACAGCTATGACGTAGCAACGAAAATAATTTTATGGTTGGGGGTCACCACAACATGAGGAACTGTAGAAGATTGAGAACCACTGACCTAGATGATAACACTTAGTATCAAATAGTTCCAGAGGAAAAAACCTTAAGGATGCATTTCCTGAATACGTTTTCAAGTTTGACAAAAGGCACTAATGACTGTTTCCAACAGTAAAAAGGGCACTGTTTTGTTAATCCATGGTATGGTGTGGCACAATAATACAAGAAACATCACCCCTACTGGATAAAACATTTGGGAGAAACAAGGTTCTGGGTGATTGTATATTTAATACCTAACATCTTTAGAAAAAAAACCCAAAAAGAAAAACTCAAAACTTACAAAAGTTCTTGAGAAAATTTCATTTTCAATCGATTCCATTTTTGAAGAACATTTCTAAGTTGCCTGTTTTTTGAGAGAGTGTTAAGACTGCCCTTTGTAAAGATGAAAATGGAACAAAACATGGTAAATGGAAAAAAGATTGAGGTTGTCAAGGATTCTGTCTTAATTGATCCATAATCAATGCTCATGGTAGCTGCAATCAAGAGCTCAAAAGATGAGTTGCACTGGGTAAATCTGCAGTGCAAGACCTCTTTAGAGTATTGAAAAGCAATGACATTAACTTTCAAGACTAGGGAGAGTCAGATGCAAGCCACTGTATTGTCAATTGGCTTATATATACGAGGAAGTTGGAATTATGGAGACTGAAGAAGAATTGATGCATATGAACTGAGGTGCTAGAAAAGAATCTTGAAAGTACCATGGACTACTAAAAAGATAAACTGATCTGCCTTGGAACAAGTACCGCCAAAATGCTCCTTAGACTCAAGGATGGCAATACTATATCTTAAATAGTTTGGACATGTCTAGAGAGCAGGAGAAAAGAGAAGGCTCTCAATAAGATCAATTGACACCATGGATGCAACAATGGGCAAAAGCATAGAAATAATTGTGAGGATGGAATAACTGTGAGGATGGTGCTGGATCAGGCAGTGTTTTGTTCTGCTGTGTATAAGTCGGTTGGAGCTGACTCGATGGCACTTAACAACTACTATAAGAAGTTACCTAAAGACTTAGAGAAATATTATAGACTTAAGACTTTAATATTAAGAGTGGATTTTCCAGAGCTAGTTAGGGTGCAATGTAGCACCGATGAAACATACAACTTTCCTCTAGTTCTTTAATGCTTCCTCCCCCCCACTATCAAGACCCCAATTCTACCTTACAAATCCAGCTAGACCCGAGTATATACACAAGTACAGCAAAGAGCTGAAAACGGGGAATCCAGGACACATAAACCCCCTCAGGACCAATAATGAGAGTAGCGATACCAAGAGGATAAGGGGGAGAAAGTGAGAACAGATCACAATGACCTACATATAACCCCTCCCTGGGGGACAGATAAAAGAAAGTGGGTGAAGGGTGACATCGGCAAATGTTAAGACATGAAAAAAAAAAATTATCAAGGGTTCAGGAGGGAGGGAAGGTAGGGAAAAAATGAGCTGATACTAAGGGCTCAAGTAGAAAGAAAATATTTTGATAAAGGCAACAAATGTACAAATGTGCTTGACACAATGGATGCTTGTATGTATGGATTATGATAAGAGTTGTACAAGCCCCCAATAAAATGATTTTAAAAAGAGTGGATTTTCCAAATGTGGGCCTACCAAGCCATGCAGTGAGTGCCCAAAGGACACATTTTTCTTACAACTCTGAGGAATAAATCTGTGAAGAAATTGTGAGCATCTTTGAAAACTGATTGCTTCTCTTTGTAGGTCAAATTGTACAACAGACGTTTCTCCCACTGAATTGGGGACCCTAAACAAAACACAATGGGGATAATTAAGTCTATCTAGGCTAGAGGGGGACAAGTGATAGCCAAAGAAATAATACAAGAGGACCCAAGTACAGTCAGTTGTACCTATGCTAATTATATCCTCTGAGGTGCAAGTATGACTTTAGTTGACAAGTTGTCAAAGGGGTGAACTGTGATGACTAATGTTAACAAGCCAACTTAGCTAGGTTATGATTCTGAGAGATTTGGTAGACCATATGTAATCACCATGGGCTGCCTAAAGAACAAACAAATCTGCCTTGCAAGAAGCACAGCCAGAATATTCCTTAGAAGTGAAAATGGAGAGTTCATGTCACTCTGTGGAGGTTATCAGGAGATACCAGTCCCTGGAAAAGGATATCATTGTTGGCAAAGTACATCAGTGAAAAAGAGGAAAACCTTCAATGAGATGAACTAACAGAGTATCTGCAACAATGGGTTGAAAAAGTAAAAGTGTGGTGCAGGGTTGTATATAGGGTCCATGAGTCGGAATTGATGCACCTTAACAATAACAATAGCATGTAATTATCAAAAAGCCTTAGTTATGCCCTAGGTTGGTGACTTAAAATGCATCAGTTGCTCCACTGGAAAAAGATGTAGTAGTTTGCTATTGCAAAGATTTATAGCTGTGGAAACCTCATAGGGTAGGTTTATCCTCTTCTGTAGGGACTTTACAAGTCAGAATCTACTCATCAGCAAAGAATTTGGGTATAGGGAACTTACATTTCATTTGGTTACCTGGTATGAGCAGCCATCTATTAAAAGAGGGGTTTTCCTTTAAGGTATGGACTGCTTCCAGTATATAAATTGATGTTCTAGAAAAGCTTTGCTTTACTTTCAAATTTGCACTTTTGGTTGCCTAAAACCTTGGATTCTTGAGACATAATAAGCCTACAGAAATATTCAGTCTTCTTCCTGACCTGCAGATTTTGGACTTGAGAAACCCAACGAGCCAATAGAGTCCTCCCAGTCTGGACTTGACCTGTAGAGCCTGTGCCACCATGTTAAGCCATCAGAAGTCTCCTCGACTCATGGATTTGGGACTTGAAAGCCCCTACACAATTAAATAATCTATTTCTTTGAAGTAAATCTTTCTCTATATATTTAGCTATATCCTTCATTGCATTTGTTCCCCTAGAGAATCCATACTGAAACCACTCACTGCCACTGAGTTGATGCTGACTCATACTGACCCTATAGGACAGAGTCAACCGCCCTGGGGAGTTTCCTGTTTACAGGAGTAGAAAGAAATCCCTATCTATTTCCCACGGAGTGGGCTGATGGTTTCAAATGGCTGACCTTGCAGATCGCAGCCCAATGCTTAACCACTATGACATCAGGACTCCTCACACTGAAATAGTTACTAGCCATTAAGCAGAAGCTGAAATATTACCTCTTTGATCAGCTCAGACTGGCCGACAGTGTAGCTGTAGTTGGCAATCAGCGTAGCAATACCAACATAAGACCTCACCAACTCTGCCAGAAGACGAAGGATAGTTGAAGTGGGCATTAAAGGTTTGCTGCCCTTGCCTTTCTGCTTGCCTTCTTCAGAGGCCCGGTCTCCTTCTTTATCTTTCTTTCCATCTCGAGACTCCTCTGGAGTTGAAGCTGCTAAGAAACAAATACTGGTTCAATTTTATACTGGGAAATCATGTCTAAGTGATGAGAATATTACTTCTTCACTTAAAGGTCAACATAACAAACTGAACACCCTTCCCTACATGTAATAAACTAGGATGAACCAGGTGAGACATGGTCTGTCAACATAATACAGTGGAGGGAGGTTTTGACAAGTATCCATTTACCTCAAATCACTTCCCTTCTTATACATGTTCCAGAAACAGTGCACTAATAGTTGTTCTACAAATATGCCATTTATCTCCTCTAATCTTCTCAATCCTCTCTGACACATGCCTATTTATTTAGTTCGGCTCAAATGCTCAATATCTATTATGATTTGCTGATGGTACAGTTAATTGCTCAGCTAGTAACTAAAACTTTGGTAGTCCGAATTTATCCAAAAGGCACGGCAACTTACTTCCCAAAACCAGCTATTAAAACCTCTAATACACATGGTATTTACAGCAAGTAGTCTATATCTTACATAAGCATGCCTCTATTCAAGCAGCTGTCTTGTATTAGAGGTACTGCAGGTTTCTTTTTATCATTAAACCAAGTTCTTCAAACACAGCATCAAATCTGACTCATTTTGGTGTCTAACTAGTAGGCACCGAGGCTCTTCTAGAATTTTATTGGCACCATCCACATTATATATATACTAGTAATATTTTAATAATGGCTTTCCCGATCTCTCTGGGGGGGCTAATCTGATATTAAGCAGAAGGTCTCCAATTAGGTTTCAAGAGAACTTTCCTACCCAAGAGATAACTTTGGAAAAAGTTGGACTAGAAATTTTCCACATAAAATTTCCCAAATTCATAATGAGTAGCCACAATGTGTGCTGTTGATATTTTAAAGAGAGCAGAAATCTAGCATGCAAAGCTTAGAGTTGAATACTGTCACTGGCCTTATAAACTTCTATATGTCAGCATGGGAAAAACCTAAGGACAAGGATATGGTGGTTTAAAGAGTGGCACTGAAAAGTGCTACCACGGCAACCAAAATAAAGTTAGGTAAATCATAGTTCCATTCACTTAAGCATATAAGGAGCTTCTAATTACATATGAAACAATGAAATCATAGGATAGTCACTATCTTTTCAATTTATGTTCCCAAGAAATAAAAACTTGTGAGGATAAAAAAGCAAATTATTTAATACCCTCTCCTTGGGAGGTTCCTGATGTGGAAGTCTCAGTGGAGGCACCATCAGCAGCAAAGACCTGACTCTGTAAAAGAAAAAAAAAAAGGTCTTGAGCCATTATCATTTCCAAGAATCTAGATGCCCTAAGATGACAAAATCTGTGGACACTCATTACTATAAACACCAGATTAGGGGGGCAGAGACAAAGGAAGATGAGAATTAAAAATCAACTAGGAAGATATTTCCAACTTCCTAGTGGGAAGGAAAAAGATGTATCCCAGAGACACCTCAATCCTACCTTCATTGTTAGGCAACAGATAATTTTTTAAAAAATTGAATTTTATTTTCAAATAGGCTTTTTACCTGCCAAGTCTCCCCTTCAAATGTTAAAATCCTGTTCTTTCAGAAGTTCTGGCTGGGGCTCAAGTTTTCTTTTTATAGGAGGTCAATTATATATCATTTTATTGGGGGCTCATATAACTCTTATCACAATTCATACATACATCGTGTCAAGCACATTTGTATATTTGTTGCCATTATCATTCTCAAAATATTTTCTTTCTGCTTGAGCCTTTGGAATCAGCTCACTTTTTTGCTCTTCCTCCCCCCTCCCTCATGAACCCTTAATAATTTATAAATTATTATTTTGTCATATCTTACCCACTCCCTTCACCCATTTTTCTGCTGTCTATCCCCCAGGGAGGAGGTTATATGTAGATCCTTGTAATCGTTTCCCCCTTTCTACCCCACCCTCCCTCCACTCTCCCAGGATCGGCACTCTCAGCACTGGTCCTGAAGGGACCATCTGTCCTGGATTCCCTGTGTTTCCAGTTCTTATCTGTACCAGTATACATCCTCTGGTCAAGTCAGATTTGTAAGGTAGAATTGGGATCATGATAGTTGTGGGGGGAGAGAAGAGGAGGAAGCATTTAAGAACTAGAGGAAAGCTGTATGTTTCATCGTTGCTATACTGCACCCTGACTGGCTCCTCTCCTCCCCCTGACCCTTCTGTACGCAAGAGATTACTCGGACACAATCGTGAATAATGAGGACACATGGACAGCAAAAAAAAAAAAAAAAGATAGGTTGTTAGAAATGACTTACATTAATGGAAAAACCTGATTGTGTATCAAAGTCACTGCCCTGACGTGTAAGTGACCGGTACTGCTGGTATACATCATCACCCATGTCTTGCAGGAGCTGGCCAACCTCCTGTGTCATACTCCCAGGCTTAGAATCAGATTTGTCTGCTAGCAAAAGAAAGCACACACGCACAAATAAATAATAAACTCTTCCTTACTTATGCAAAATTGACGATCAACTTTATAAGTTGTTTGATTTACATAATGCTATTGCTAAGTATTAAGAATGAGGATAATGTAGTATAAGCAAGATAGGGTTAAAATCAATAGTCTTGTGACCATATGCAATTAACTGCCTCACTTCCATTTTCTTCAGTTGTCACTACCAGACTTAAAGTTCTATGAAGGAAAAGTGTCACAAACTCAGATTTTTTTTATTTAATAAAGGCAGTATCCTTTAATTTTTAGCAAATTTGTAGACCTATCAAATACAGATGTCCTGAACAAAATCGAGAATGGAATGGAACCTGGGGTTACAGATAATCTAATTATCATGTTGCCAGTACTTAAAAGCAGCATACCTCTACCAAGACTAATGGGGGATTGGGATAATGATCTTAAAAGGGCAGAAAAGCCCCGTTACACATTTAGTGTGTGAACAAGAAAGATGGCTTAGTTCTTAGGATGAAAACATTAAAAATGACCTAGTGTTACCTTGATTTATTTTTAACTTGATCACACGATGTTATTTTCTCTTTTAAAATAGGGTTCAAACATTTCCCTCTGCATGGTATATACTCTCATACAATTCTGGTCATTTCATTCTTATCATTTAAAAAATCACGTATTTTTTTAAATCATTTTATTAGGGGCTCATAAAACTCTTATCACAATCCATACACACATTGATTGTGTAAAGCACATTTGTACATTCAT